TCCCACTTAATTAACGGCATTATAGCTTCAATATGCTGCGCAAAAGTCATTTTTGAGTTCTCAGTACTTGTATCCGTGGCTGTGCTGGAAGGTCAGAGGGTTAAAGAACCACTGACAATAAATAAAACATTGTTTGTCTCACCTATATGGGTCACAGAATATATTGTAAAGCAAGCACTCAATGCTCAGTTTCATCCCTGACAGTGTTCACCTGAAGACTGTTGATGTAAAATACATTTGATAACAGGGTGACTCCCACAGGAAATACAGTAACTCAGGTGTTTACCAATTGTTTATCTCTAAAATTCAAAAAAACAATTACACACCAGCAGAGGAAAAGGCAGAACAATACGCTGTGGTCATTGAAAAATAAACATAAAAGACTCATCTAGTCAAAAGAAACAACATCAAATATATATTTTTAAAAAGATCCCTGACTGTAACGTCGATAGGGAAACGATTTGTTGCGTTTCCATTTGTGTTCCTTCGACTCCAGCGTTTCATGTGAAGCTGCAGTTCATAAAACGAAGCCACTCAGATAATTAACAAACTGCTGTTGTTCTTCCAGAAATCCCAAAACCACCCACAAAACGGGCAAACAAAGAATCTGCCATTTTTCTCACAGTGAACCTGCTCCTACACAGTCTTTTTCCAGGAGAAACACTAATGCACCAAAAAAAAAAAAGAAAGAGAGTGAAAAGGACGGGTGTGAAGAAAACCCGAGAGAGCATCAGCGAGAGGTTCCTTTTATAAACCGAACAGAAGAACAGAAGGAAGTCAAGCAGCTGCTACAGGACGCGGCTGAAGGTGTGAAGGGCTTAAATGGACGCTTTAATTGCATTTTATCCACTCGTATTGTGCCGTGTACGTACGACCCTCGGCTCCAAGGTTTCCCTCAGCGTGATGCTCTTTTAACCCTCTGAATGCTGAGCAGTTTCTGGATGTTTTGTTTTACTCAGGACACATTTTTACTCACTGTGGGCTCTTTTTTTTTACTGTAATATAAAATGCTGCACCTCCTTGGAAGCAGCACATGCATGGGTAGAAGTAGAGAGACCTGACAAATGTCTTCTGTGCATTAGGGCAGAGTTAGAATGCCATAATGGAAAATGGAACCAGGTGTTATCAATAAAACGGTGGCTGCACACTATAGATGTTTTGCTATTTGTTTCCAAGCCAGAGAACCCACGCTGCACGGGGAGAACATGGAGACTCCATGCAGAGAGATCTCGGGTGTCCTCATCGGGACGCGAACCGGTGACCTTCTAGCTGCGAGGCGACGATGCTAACCACCTACAAGTGTAGATTTTGATATCATATTTTAAAGATTCGATTTGGTTCTGATGAAACAGCACATCACAGATGAGGAGTTCAAGTTGAAAATCAGCATTTTTAAAACTTCTTTCTATAACAAATGGTGTAATTTTGCCATTTTTAAAATAAAGCTAACATGCCTTTAAAACCCATCGGTGGTTCTGAGGATTCAGAGTTTTAAAGAAGCTACAATTACATCTTCAAGCGCTTTAAATCTCTTTCTTTCTATCAAATATAAAAGTATTTTTTGATGCTGTTTCAGGTTAATTGAGTTGACCGTTCAGCTATTTCTACATTCCCTTCAGGTTGGATTGTTTAATTATTATAATTCATGGTTTGTTTGCATTCAGCCTGAGGCTTTACAGATACGCCAAACTGCTCATTAAACACATTCACACCCAACAGAAAGAAAAAAACCTAATTAACATTTTTCAGTTTTACATGTTTCCTCTGCTGTACGGTCAGAAGTATTTGGACGGCGCTGTAGCTGCCCTACACTGGTCTGGGAAGCGTTTTTCACAAAACTAAACGATCATTTCCATCCCAACTAACCGAGAGTCCGTTTTTTTTTTTCACTCACGCTCACAGCTCAGAGTCTTCATGCAGGTTTGCTGTAGACGGCAAATGGACTGCTTCACAATTTCCCCTCTTTTGCACCCGTTCACAAGGCGGGGGATCGAAATAGCAACCCTGCAATTAGTGGCCAACCTGCTCTGCCACCTCTACCTCCTGATTCACAGCCACCCCTAAAATAAAATAAAAAAACTACAGAGTGTAATAACACCCCATCTAATATCTCTGTGACTGTCACATTAACCATTTTCCACAAACAGAGGAAAGCAGGTCGCATTATACGGCAGTTTTAAGGGTGTTAATGACGATAATGATGAGGCGCCTTCTCGTGAGCAGGTAGGATCCATCAGGCTGAAAGTAAATTTGCAGGATGAGAGAAACGCTCGTTGGAGCCGGCGTCACAGAATGAAGTTAAAACTATATATATATCCTGATTGAAGCCCTTCACATGAGTCTGTATGTGATCGATGTATCGACGAACACATTAAGGTCAACTAATGATGCTGCAGGAATTTAAGGTCAGTGACAGAAAATCAAAAGCAGAGACCACCTTGAGTCGATGGCTCTTTTACTGATTGGCGATGCAACACGTTGAGTTCTTCACGAGGCAGTTTTTTATGCTCCGGTACAGACGGACAGAAACGAGCGTTGACTCATCTGATAAAAGCTCGACTCCAGCTGGATCACAGATGCCGCATCTCGCTGCCAGTCACTGCTTCTCACCTCTAAATCTGTCTCTTCCTGTCCCGACTGACCTTCAGCATCGTACCTATGAATGAAACCGCCAACCCCAGCCGCTAACACGCGGGTTACCATGGTTACCGCACATGCCACATATAGGCGAGGAGGTGTGTCGGACATGCTGCTGCATTTCATCAGCTAATTCATGGCGCGCGCGGAGAAAAAAAACTCTGGGGAAATTATGAGAGATCCATAGTGCCCGGCCGAATCAGATTAAAAAGAACAGTCCGCTGATGATGGGATGTACAGCAGAAACACAGCAACGCTCCACCAGCTGGGTGTCCTGCTGGTCCCACCGAGTCCCGCCTTCCAGCCAAGCACACACCGAACCTGAAAATAGATCCCGCTTATTGTATTCTCACATTTCTAGTGTTTATCTGGCACCAGCGGGTCCGTCTTTGCCGTCGAGATTCGTGATTTGTACCCTCTTATATCACCGTATTGCTCCCGGTTTGATCAACGGAAACGCTGCCGTTTGGCTTTTTGAGCACAAAAATCAAACCCAAAAGCGAAGCCGCACACCTCCACAGTCTGCTGCTACCGAACCAACAAAGCGACAAATCAAATTTCAAAGAGACAAACAGATGCCGAGGAGAGATGGATGTTAGTTTTGCCCTCAAGAAACAGAAAACATCCTGAAAGAGTTCAGGCTGATGTCAGGCTGTTATTAGATATAAGCTACGAGCCCTTTACCTGTCGCATTAGCTGCATTTTGACTGTTTAACTTAGCAAAAATGGTCTAAATAGTTTTCCTACGTGAAGAACTCACACAG